TTTTCCTTCCGTTCTGTCTATGTAATCATATATTTAATAATTATAAAATAGGATTGAAAACTCATAATTAGTTTAAATTTTAAAAAATTAATACATTCACCGTTAAATGACGGAATACAAATTCTTCATTACAAATATATAATTAAGATTTCATTTGGGATATGAGTTGATTTTTTAATTTTTTGAATTTTTTAATCGGGGACTAAAAAGTCTCGTTTGAAATAAGATTTTTGTTTTTAAAACTTTTTTGAGAGAAAAAATAAAATGATTATGATTTTAATGTAATATTTTATCTTATTAGACTAAAAATCTTATTTTGTCTTTTTGTGACTAAAGTGTTTGTTGGGCATGCACTAAAAAAGTATATTTTTTTTTGCATAGGCGCTGTTTGGGAAGGAGATTTTTTGTTTTTTTTTTGTTTTTGTTGTTTTTTTTACTAAAAGACAAATTAGTTACCAAAAAAAAAAAAAAATCCAAAAAAAATTTCACATCAAATCCCATAATCATTTCACTTTTTCTCTTACAAACATCACATCCAACTACAAAAAAATCCACCTATCTTTCCAAACACAAATTTTTTTTTTCTCCAATAATATCCTACAACTAAAAAAACTTACAAAAAAATTTACTTTCCAAACACTCACATATACTTATTTAGATCACATCAATTAACATCTATCAACATCTCTTCTCTACTTTTTTATCCACTTTCTCTACTTTTCTACATATTTCTTTTATATAATAAGTTAAAAAGTGCACTTATTTAGAATCCACCCCCAAAATAGTTTCAACCTCATCCAGACCCCCATGCTAAACCAGCACTAAAAGGAACACAATGCACTCTGGAACATCTCACAAAAATTGGACAATTTAATTTTAGGAGATTTATTAAATTTTTTTTTTTTAAGTATTTGTATCACAATTAGTTCATAAATTATTCTTGTATTCTAATAAGTTCTATTATTTGAACATTTGATCTACCAAATCTTAATTCTCATATTTAAAGTATTTTATGAATATTTCTATTCTTACAAATATTTTTTGAACGGTTAACAAATTAATGATGTGAACATTCATATTTTATAATGTGAATATTAATATTGACGTGTAGATGCTCACATTGACAGTATGAACATTCATATTGACATGTTAATATTTACACTGATGGTATAGACATTCATATTGACGATATAAATATTCACATCAACGGTGTGAATATTCATATCACGGAACATTCATATTGTAAATGTAAAAATTATTAAAAATATTTTGATAATTATATCACCCATAAAATTTATTAGAATTTAAAAAAATAATATAAACTAAGCCAAATATAAATAATTAAAAAGAGGTTTATGAAAAAAATACCGCTTAATTCGGATTAAAAAAAAAATACCGCTTAGGGGGATGCACCAATAAATCCCAAATTAATAACTTATGCACTGTTTAGTCCTAAAAGTTTTCTTATAGACTGAAAGGTCCCATTACAATGTTAATAACATCAGAGTCATGTTACAAACATTGGATTTCAAACATCTAATGTTCATCAAATTTCAATAATGTTTGAAAATATAGGATGAAAAACATCTAATGTTCATCAGATTTCAATAAATTTTGAAATTATAGAATGAAACATCAGATCATTTACATCATTCACATCAGATCATTTACATCATTCACATCATGTTGATGTAAAAATAGGACTAAATGGAGCATAAGAAAACTTTTAGGACTAAATGGTTCAACGTTTCAAAAATTAGGACTTATGGGTAAATTTTCCTAGTTTTTATCCACTTTTTGGGTAATGGCTAGGGCAAGAGTGGTGGTGGAGAAGACACCAAAATTGATCATAAATTTTTTATGTAATTTTTTTTTTGGTTAGGCAGACAAAAAAACAGAGCCAATCACATACCACTACTCTCTAGATTTATTGTTATAATTCATTAGTGACTGCAAAATGGTCGAGATTCTAAAATTTTTCTAAATGTCTCACATAAGTGTGAGACTTATATCATATGAGTCTTATGTAGATTCTAAACTCATGTGAAACATTTGGTAAAGATTTTAATAGAAATTTTGAAATCTCTAACATTACTCTTATGCTGTGTTTGGTTAAGAGTTGGGGTTCCTGCCGTGCCTTGAGGCACAATAGGCTGCTGTGAGGCCCATTGGGGGTGTGTCCTGAATCTTTTTTGATGATCCGAACCGTTCATATTGTAAGATTCATCGAATAAATCATTCAGACAAAAAATCAAGTAAATTAGACATTTGTAGTCTCATAATAAGAGCACATTTGTCTTTCAAAAAATAAATGGTTAACATGATTTTAATAATTTTTTTAAAAACAATTAGGACTTGATCATGAGGTTACAGATGTCCGATTAACTTGATTTTTTATTCAAACGATATACGTGAAATGTGAATAAAATATACTTATATTTCACCTAGTTTCATATAACTTTTCTCTTTTCCTTCCCTAAATCTTCTAACCAAACACAGCGTTAGTGATTTACATCAAAAATATTTGAAACAAGGAATTATCATAACATTTAGGCCATGTTTGTTTGGGTGGACATGAGCTTGGGATTGGACTAATAGTCCAATAAAATTATTAATCCGATATTTGGTTAAACAATTGAAGTACGGACTAATTATTTTAAACTTGACTTTTAGATAAGATAGGATACATAATCCAACGAATTTATAATCCAGGACTATTAATAATGGGAATGCTAATCTAATCCATCTAAACAAACATGTCCTTATAGTGTACTTATGGGATTCAATAGTAAGGATATATGATTTTGAGTAACTATTAATTTATAGGCTTACTAGTGTATACCCGCACACGGTGTAAACAAAAAGAAGTGAACAAAATGAAGAACGATAAAATTAAATAAATAGAGAGGAAAATAAAAAAGGGAAAAAAAGAAAAAGAAAAAGAGGAAGGTGGGATCTTGAGATCATTCATGGGATTATTCATGGGATCATGAGAAGGCAGGTGAGAAAAGGAAAAAGTAAGAGAGAGAAGCGGGAAGTAGAATACATTACAACCGTTATTTTATAATTTGAACATATCTGAACCATTCAAATATTCTAATAGGATAAATGTGTGCATCACAAATTCAAAAATCAATCTGTTTTATTATATAGATTTTGAATCTACATATGAAATTTAGAACTGTTTAGCATACATAGTCTAATTAATCTGATGACTTAGTCCCCAAACAATCATACCTATATGTATATTTGTATTATGTCATGGGAGAATTAATTTGAGGCTTTAATTGTGAAGGTGAGTACGTAGATGTAGGTGTGCAACTTGGGTAGGTTTAATTAACCCGAGTTCAACTCAAATTTTTTTAAAAGTTGTATATCTTTTAGAGTAAATTATATCAATTATCTATTTAATTTGAACGAACTTATAGTTTCATTTGAATAATTATGTGGATCACTGTATTTTCTTTTATTTTTTTAAATTAAGAGTATTACATAAATTTTCTTAAGGGAGAGAATTTTCTTTTCTTTTGTTTTGTTTTTTATTTTTATTATTGTTGAAAAAGTACATATGTAATCCTCTTTTAAATTTTTGAATTTTTTTATTGGTTTTGTTCAATATAATTTTATTTATTTATTTATTTTATATCTTTTGATAGAACTTTGTTGTCAATTTTCAGAGTTCACATAATTCACCCCCTAAATATGTAATCATTCTTTAAATCCGTTGATTCACTAAAAAAATCAAGAAATAAAAGAATCAATAGTGATTAATTCACATATAATATCCAGAGTTGGAAAAAAAAAAAAAAACAGTATAAAATAAGAAACTGTCTAACCCAAAAGCATATCTACATATTCATGTTGACTACTTAAATCTTAGGACAAATTAGTCCTATAGTTTGAGACTTGTATCACTTTGATCTTTGATTTTTTAATTATAGCATATTTGATTTTTAATTTTGAATCTTGTTTTAAATAAGGACAATTGAAAATATTATTGCTCAATTTTAAGAGCAAAGTCGTCAATTTGATAAAATATAAATTAATTTGACAAAATTAAATGTCAAAAAAATATTTTTGAATTTTTAAAAATTATTTCTAACCACCAAAGATAAAATGTAAAATTTATAAATCTTTTACACATTTATTTATTTTATCAAATTAATTTTTATTATGTATTTGGATGATGATCATGTAATGGGTGATTGTTTTTATTTTCATTAAATTAGTTTATATTTTTTCAAAAGTCAAATATGGCGATACATTGATATCAATATTAAATCAATCCATTAAATTAAAAAATTCAAAATTAAAAACATTTCATATATTAAATATATTGATTACACATTAAAAGCCTAGCAATCACCCATTACATAATCATCATCCAAATACATAATAAAAATTAATTTGGAAAAATAAATAAATAAATAAATAAATGCGTAAAAGATTTATCAATTTTACATAATTTTATCTTTGGTGGGTAGAAATAATTTTTAAAATTCAAAAATATTATTTTGACATTTATTTGTGAAGTTAGTTTATATTTTATCAAATTGACGACTTTGTCCTTGAAATTAAGCAATAATATATTCAATTGTCATTATTTGAAACAAGATTCAAAATTCAGGATCAAATGTGTCGTCACAATTGAAAAGTCAAGAACTAAAGTGACACAAGCTCCAAACTATAGAGACTATTAGTGTAATTCGCCCTAAATCTTATATTATAAAAAATTAATAAAATAGAAAACCTAAATCAATAAAAAAAAAAAATAGGAAACATAATCATTGTAAGATATATTATGTTAAACCAAACTGTTTTTAATTAACTATTATTTCCGAAATAAAAATATTATTTCTAAAAAATCACATTCAATTGAATTTTTTAAGATATATAGCATGATCTTAAAAGAGTAATGACACATAATAATAACTCAAGCAATTAACACACATGAAATAAGAAATAAGTCTTCTTCTTCTTCTTTTTTTTTTTTTTTTTTTTTTTTTTTTTTTTTTTTTTTTCTTTCTTCTTCTTCTTTTATTACTTTCATTGATGAAAATAAATATCAATCCCGGAAAGATTGAAATATTAAACAAATGAATTTTTTTAATTCATATTGTGTAAAATGACATTTTTAAAGAGTACTATTCTTCTTGGAGAGTTCAACATCCGAAATCTCAGCTGGCGTGTCATCATCTTCATCCCAATTGGTCGTTTTGTAATAGGTTGCATACAGTATGAGTTGAATTGCACCAGATAGTGTTCCCAAACCATTGGGAATCTATACCAAAAACAAAACCAAAAAAAAAACAAAAAACAAAAACAAAAACAAAATAGAAAAATGGTACATTTTAGTGTTTATTAGATGAGTAAATTGAGCATGATAGTGATGATTAGATGCAAACTATAGCTAGTTAATAATGGGAAGCACCAAGAAACTCTGAAAAATAAAAGGAAAAGGAATTAAGAGAAAACGGGAAGGAAAATTATACCTATACTCGCTGTAGTCTATTATGTCAATTTGGTGTTTTAGTTCTAATTACATCTACTTTATTATTGAATTTTCATATTTTGTCAAGGGCTACTTTGGGAAGTAATCACTAGTTGATTTTTTGGCTTATTATGAAAAAATGTGCAAAAAGTAAAGAGATGGTGTGATCCAAATAAGCTAATAAACCAATAAACTGGCTTACAAGCTTATTCCTAAGTAAGGCCTAATTGATAATGCCCATTTAGAAATTAAACTTGAGTCAATGGCCAAAATAGTTTATTCACTTTTTTCAAAGGAATTGAGTCCAACTTAAAATGTTCGATTCCTTTTTTAATGAATCATTTCACCATTTATTAATTTCTTGACGTATGTTATCAATTTGACTAGGTTGGCAAAATGTAAAAAATTAAAAGGGAAAATTGTTACAATTAAAACTATATGGATCGAATTAATAATTGACTTTCGTTGATAAAATAATAGTGATCAAATCGACATAATAGACAAATTACAGGAATCATAAGTATAATTTGTCCCCCAAAAAAATTACTTCAGCGGCACAGATTTGGCAAAATCAAATCTGACACCATTTAGTAATTAGAAAGTAACCCACAAATTTATAACCACATTTTGTTTTTCCAGAATAATTGACAAGTTTTTGCTCCTTAGAAAACCATTTATAGTAATCGAAAATGTTCACAAGGGGAATTAATAATAGTTATGGCATTACTATACCTAATTGTGAAAAAAAAATGCTCCACTTGAGTATGGATGCAAGATGAACCCAAATTGTTCTAGGATCCAAATTTTCTTGGTAACCAAACAGAACATTGAAGTAAAATTAAGATGACATTGATTCCCCTCCTCAGATAATTTATAGAAATGAATTCATCCACCAAGGATCCTCTAGAGTGTTTTTTTCCTAAAGTTTCCTAAAGTGGTGTATTGTGCTGTTGAGATTTAATGCTGAAAAATTGATGTGACTTGTCATTAAATCTCAACCACACAATGCACCACTTTAGAAAACTTTAGGAAAAAAAAACTCTAGAAGATCCTTGCTCGAATTCATCAAAATCAACAATTAATATAACGTACATACATGGAATCACTAATTGAACTAAAAGAAAATATTTACTCACCGCGATGTAAGGATCGAACTTAAGGAGTGCATAAACTAACCACACACAACCATTGGCAAAGTTAGCGACTGACAAAAAGAATGGCATGTATTTTACACTCTTTGTTTGGATGACTAGTTTCTGTCCCAAAAAAAATATATATAAATATATAACTTCAATAAATAGCAAACAAATATGAATACTTGTGTGTATAAATTAGTAATATAAGAGGAAAATAATACACGTACCATGACTGTCAACGGTGCAGTGTACATAACTATATTGAAGACGAGACACAATATCCCAATAAGCATTGATCTTGCTTGGGTGGTATGCAAAAATGTCATGGTGATGAAGAATATAAAAACAACAAAAATTATTTCCAAGAAAAGAGCAAGAATAATCTTCCGCTGAAAATACAATTTAAACACACAAACAAAGAGAAACAAAAATCCATTAGTGCAAAGAACTAGCTAGAGAAACTAAAGTGGAAAAAAAAAAAAAAAAAAAAGATTGATCAATTGTAATGTCTAGTATTTACGTACGCGCTTTTGCCAATCAGAGTAGGTGATGAAGATGAGGACATAGGCAAGCTCAATGACCAACCCTGTACCATTGATTGTGATGACAAGAAGGCTATCAGGATGGACGAAGGGAAGGCCATAGATCACCCATAGGGCACAATTCAGCACGGTGGCAACGTAGGGGTCCGCCTTGAACTCTTGCACTGATTTTGCTTTGATTATCTTAAAGAATGTCGGGCTGTGAATTAATCGATTTTGTTACAATGAGAATTTTCACAAGAATTGTGTTAATTCCATGCACAATTCAAAGCTATATATATATGCAATTCTTTAAATAAATAAAAAAAAAACTAACATGATGGTTGTACGGCTACAAATATAGTAATTTTTTAAAATAATGCATAGAAAACAGTGCTCCTAGCACTGCATTTTGTGAATTTCCTATATAAAAAATTGTGAAAATTTATCGATTTATAAAAAAATTTGTGCAAATTCATCAAGAACTGGTTAATTATATATTTCCCCATGCATAATTCAAAGCATGGAAATTCTAGAAAAAAATACTAATATGATAGCAGTAATGCACATATATATATATATATTTTTAGAATAGTGCACAGAAAGCAGTGTTATGTATTGTTTTGAATTTTTTTTTGTATTCATTGATGTAATGGAAGAGAAAAGATTTTAGCGTAGAAGACTTACTTAAAAATTCTTGTTGAAGGGCATTCCAAAGGAGGACAATTTTGAAATTGAAATATAATGAAAAATGATTTTTTTTTTTTAATTTATTTTTTTAAACAATAGGGAAGGTTTTGTTTGAACGGAACAATAGGGAAGGTTGGTGTACACATGTTTACATGAAAGAGAAACTTACACTGGTGAGAGAAAGAGGAAGAACGATATGACATTTCCTGTATGAACATTGGAATATGTGTTAACAAATAGAGGATTGAAATGAGCCCTACAATGTATATCAAACTAACAATCTCAATCACATGCAACCCTATGTCATATATAAAGAGTCGAACAGACTGAAAGAACAAAGTGTATGAAGACAATACAAAAATAATGGGATGACAAAACTTAAATCCAGAATCTTCTAAAACCATTTCTTTAATAACAAGTTAGATCAAGAAGGATATAATTCAATGTATCTCATTTACATTCATATAAATTATTGAGGAAAAAAATGATAAACCAAAGTAAATTATTGAATGAATATATAGATATGTAATTGAAGAATGACAAAAGTGTGATCATTGCTTGTATTAGGACTAACCAATGATTCCAACAGTCGTTCTTATTGTCTCTGGTTCCATCTTTGAACAAAATAGATGAAGAAGAAGAAGAGAAAAATTAAATAATAATAATAATAATAATAATAATAATAATAATAATAATAATAATGAGAAGAAGAAGTAAATAATAATAAGGATAAGAAGAAGTAGAAAACTATGAATGATATATATACATATTGAGATTTGTCAAGAGATTGGTTGTGATTAAGTCCTACAAATGCATTGAACAAAGAACTCTGTCTATATTTGGGTATAATTTTTCTCTATTTAGATAATTTTTTGGTGTATTATTAGAAAAATTTATCTATTTTGGAACAAATTTTCTGTAGAGATTAGAATTTTCATTTGGATATTATCCACAAAGAATGTGTATATTTGGATAAACTTTTTTAATATTAGAATTTTTTGTTTGGATATTATTGGGCTCGGATCATCTGTCCTAAAAAATAGATATTGCGTTTGTTTTCTACAAAGCCAGACTCGCTCTCTTCAATAAGATTTCTCTACAATTGTAAAATTTAGAAACCAGTACAACACATCTTTTCTTTAAGTTGTCTCTTTCACGATACAACTAGACAATTCATCATATGACTCGAATCAACTTTGCACAAACAATTAAGTCCAAAGTTTCACTCACAATTTAATTTTCTTTAAATTAAAACTAATTAAAAAATAAATTATGTGATTATGAGTGCATAGGATAAGAGAAAAACACTTTTATATTCAAGATCAACTTGTTATTAAATAAGTCAAACTTAAACATACTTTAAAACTCATTAAAATTTTAAATTAAATTTAAACAAATTACTACTTGACTCAATAAATTTATATAAATTATATATAAATAAAAAAGCTATTCAAGCTTGACTAATATTCAACTTGTTAAAAGCCCATTTCAGATTGATTAATTATATAAACAAGCGAAATTTAAACACATTTTGAATCTCGTTAACCTTTAGCCATGGTTAAATAATTTAGGGCAAATTACATATACCTCCCTCGAGATTTAGCTAAATTACAGATATCCCCTTGAGATTTCAAAAATTACAAATACCCCCCTAAAGTTTATATTTTCATAACAAATTGCCTCCTGACGTTTATATTTTCATAACAAATTGTCCCCTAATTTGTTATGAAAATATAACCTTCAGAGGGTATCTATAATTTCTCAAACCTCAAGGGGGTATCTGTAATTTTGTTAAACCTCGAGGGGCTATATGTAATTTGCCCAATAATTTAATACTCGATGGACTTGACTCAACAAATTTACATGCATTTGATGGGGGTGATTCTATTTGTACCCAACAAATCATTCAATATACCTAATTTCTTTGCACTCTCTATTAAATTATTTAGGATTATAATTTACTCTCAGTACATCCTACGTGTTTTTCACAAATTACCCTTCAAGATAAAACCATAATTTATGGTACACCAAAATAATAAACAAATCAAAAATCCTAAATTACACCATTTAAAAAAAAATTAAAAACCCTTAAATAGATTTCTTAAACAAATCTTCCATGCTTGTGCAACCTCTTTAACACCCCTGCCTTGTTGAAATCTCTCAGCATCAATAAAAAGGTAAATGGGTATAAAAAAATAAAAAAATAAAAAATAAAAAATAAAAAGGTAGATGAAATGTTGTTTTGAGTTTCCATTACCAAACAATACACATCCAACATAATCAACATCACAATTGATTTTCATTCAGCATATTGATAAACAAAGAAAAGGAAACATAAAGATAATGAGTGAATCGTTTACTAATCAATCAAGCAGCAAACTTTGGTCTCTTTCTGTGCTTCTCAACCATCTTTTCAGGCTAATCCTTTTTAGCCCAAACAATCTGAATACATAATTAGATGATAGACTGTTTCAAATTTTTTTTTATTATTATTATTCTTATTTATTGTTTGATTTTATTCAAAAAAAAAATTTATTTGCAAATAACAACACAATAAAAAAACAATGATGTTGATGACAATGGTGAGGAAGAAGATGAACAAAAAATAATTGGAACTTTAGAAATAATATGAAGAATACAAATGAGTGATTAGGGTGTACCACGAAAAAAATAAAATATTGTATTTTAAGGTTTAATAATTATTGTTTTTATTAATAAATTTACATTAGGACATAATCGAAATTAAAATTTCAAAATTTTAGTTGACCGTACGGAATTAGTATTTGGGTGCAAAAAAATCACACATTTGATGGGCTTTAGGTAATACCAGTTCCAAATAATGTGTCTTGGGCCAAATTTTGTGCGTAGTGGACTGCTTAGTTACTTCCCGAGAAATTGGGCCTTACTGATTTGTTGTTGGACTCACAAAATGGACTTTGCAACAATCACCTCTCAGAAATTTAAAATAGTCTTTCAAAGTACTGATTTAAATAAAAAATTTGCAGAACAAATCATGCAAATTCATTTATTTATTTCACTCATCATGTATGTCACAAATTTGTCAAATTTTACAATCATTTAAAAAGGGTTTGATTTCTTTCAAATTGGCCATTTCAACTCAAGAGATGTCACAACCCAAATCTATCATATAGGTTTAGTGTCGTAATCGGCCAGTAATTCGAAATTACTAAAGGCCTGCTTTACAGTAATACAGTAAACAGAGCTGGCGGAAGCCAATAAAGAATACAATGTATTGTTCAATGAGTTGTGAGAACTTAAATGAACTAAACAAACTCTTATATTAAGTCCATGTCAATACATATGTACAAAACATAACATAACTTAGGGAATTAAATCTCATTATCAAAAGTCATAAACACTAAGCCCAGGTCATAGCACCGTTACTATCACGAATGAGCATCCACTATCGTCTCTCTTCTTCTTGTAAGGTGAAAGTTGTCAGTAAAACTTTTTGTGCCTCCAAACACGGAAAAACTTTAAACAACTTTTCGATTTCCAAAATCTACGCCTCGGTTTTCAAAGGCTCAATACCTCCCTGAAAAGTCGGTGGCTTTATTTTGTTGAATTTTTGGGTTAGAGCTATGATATCATCATTGTTTGGCTCAGCTTGCACTGGTGACGGAGGAGGAGGTGAGAGCTGTTGATTCTGTTGTTGTTGTCTCAGTGATTTTGTCAAAAGTTCAACCATTCTTTCCAATTGTTCAATTCTTGCATCTGATAATTCAGTTCCATTTGTATTTCTTGTTCTCTCCATTGGTTTATATAAATTATAGTAATAATAAACATGTGAAAGATGGTTCTCATATTCATGTTATCATATATTCACATAAAGGAAATGTCCTAATTTCCTTTCTAAGACATCCTATACCTCATTTGGACGCGTGTGTATGGTATACCTTGTGCTCTGATACCACTCTGTCACGATCCAAACCCGCATCTATAGGTTTTGCGTCAGAATCTGCTAGTAATCCGAGATTACCAAAGACCTGCTTTACAGTAATGCAGTAAACGGGGCTGGCGGAAGCCAATAAAGAATATAATGTATCGTCCAATGAAATGTGAGGACTTAAATAAACTAAACAAACTCTTATATTAAGTCCATGTCAATACATATACAAAACATAACATAACCTAGGAAATTACATCCTATTATTAAAAGTTATAAACAAAAACTTCATAACATTAGTTCACATTTACAAATGGGCGAATTTTGAACCACCCAAAAGCCCTAACACATAACGGTTTGGAACCTCGTAGTGAGGCACGGTAGTTGGCTTGACAAAATGGGGATTAGGTCGATGCCGCTAAGTCCGACCCGGTGCTTGATCACCTACATAGATATAATAAACAATGAGCTAGAGCCCAATAAATAACAATTATGTAAAGGGGTTATGAATGATGTCCTTACAGTAATTGAAATAATCAATTTCATCAGTAAATCATTTTCTTAGTTAGTATCTCATAATATATCAGTCATTCTGAATCATAGCAGTCATACGTGGTATATCTAATAGCATAATAGTACAGTAGGTCTTAAAGACCAAATCAATCATGTATGATAGTCATCAACACAGTAAACAGTAGTTCCAAAGATTAGAACTAACAGAGATTTCTATAACAGTAAAAATAATAGTAAACAATAGCAGTAATAGTTACTATGGATGCCACGAACACGGTTTATAAAATAGGACAATCATTCATTTAGTAAACAGTACCATTTCAGAGACAGTGCAATTTATCAACCAGAAAATAATTATAATTGAACATAGCTTTACAACGTTGTTACTCACAGTTGGCTCCCTGAAACATGTGACTAAGATGCGGCGTCCGACCTACATAACCAAGTTCAAGAACAATAACTCAAATTTATATTAAATTCGTTCAATTGGTCATATACCTATTCGATGTTTATTCATTCGATTAGTCTTATCCGTTCTTTATTCTCTTTTATGTCCATGAAATGCATATGAATGTAAAATACATGCGAAAACCATGCTAACGAAGGCCTAGAAGTTTGAAAAATATAGTGAAAACGAAACCGGGACCAACTTGAACATGCGGGCACTGACCACACGTGTGGAACTGCCACTGCACATGCACCTCGCACGTGCAATTAAAGCAGTGTGTAGGCTTATTTCTATCCTGTTTTCTGCACGTGCGGGGCCCCAAGCCGCACGTGCGGTGCTGGGTAATGTTGAGTCTGAAAATTGCTCTTGTTTGTAGACCTTCATTTCCTCAAAATCTAACTTCATTTCCACATAATTCAACCCAAATACCCATAAATATAACCTTGAACTTGAATTTCTAATCATCAAACACAAATCACAGCTTTAAAAACAAATTCATTTAGCTAATTCAAAATCAAATTCTTTGGAAAAAATTGTAGGATCATGGATTATTAATTTAAGAGCTTCAATTTAAACCCTTCTATAGAAATTCCTTTGAAATCTTGAGAGGCCATGCTAGAATTTAAGTGTATGAAAACAAATTTCCATGAAATCATGCCACGCATGTTGCTATATTAAGCTAATTTCTTCAATTCATCCCTTTTGAACTTATGTGGTTTCATAACACCATTTTACACCCTTAAACTCCTAATTATGAATGATCTCCTCTTTAATTCAACTCAAATTCTGAAGGATTATGAGTTTAACTCAAAT